GCTCCGCCCGCTCCGCTCCGCCCGCCGTGACGTGCGCACACGTGTGTCCCGGGCACGTGACGGTTTCCCGCGGGATGCCGTGGAGGAACTCGGAGCGGAGTGGTTAGTGCTGACCGGTGCGTTCGCTAGCGCGGGGATGCGCTCCGTGTGCACTGAGCCGCGGAATTTTAGGGATTGGAATGGACTTTAGGGATCATCCAGTCCCAGCCCTCTGCCCTGAGCAGGGACACCTCCCATCAGAGCAGGTTGCTCAGGGCATCATCCAGCCTGGCCGTGAACACTGCCAGGGTTGGGGCAGCCACAACCTCCTTGGGGCAGCCACAACCTCCCTGGTATCTCCTGGGCCATTCACCCACCCTGAGTAGCAGCCTGACCCAACTGTCATAGGATGTAGGGGTAGGAATGGAGCTTAGAGATCATCCAGTCCCAATCCCCTGCGCTGGGCAGGGACACCTCCCACCAGAGCAGGTTGCTCAAGGCTTTATCCAGCCTGGCTTTGAACATTGCCAGGGTTGGGGCAGCCACAGCCTCTCTGGGCAGAGTAATGAATCAAATAAACAGCTCGTTAAATGCCATGAGTGGGCTGTGTTTGGTTAGGCATGGGGAGTGCTCTGGATGTGCATGGAAGGTGCTGTGCTTGGTGCTGGGCCGGTGGTAGATGTGCCTGCAATGTGCTGCAGTTTGGTACATATCACACTCTTGTGGAAGGGTTGGTCCCTATTTGTGGTTAGCTTGGTTAGGACATTCTGTTAAAAACAAGAGCTTACAGTATTAGTGAAGTCATACTTAGGCTAACAGAGGCCTTTTTATGCTAGCAAAGGTTTAGACATAGCTAAGTGACTTGAGCCCTAATTCAGTTGGGGTGTAGCTCCTCCAACCTAGATGATTCTATAGGCTAAAAGGTGCATTAAATGCACACTGAGCATCATGCACCCCTGGCTGATCCTACCCTGCTGCACAAGAGCAAAACCAGAGTGCTGCAGGATGCCTTTGCCCTTCAGGAGGTGCAGCACTGAGCCTGCTTTTTAAATCATAGGTGAGTTGGGGATGCAGGGAGCTGCAGAGTGCAGGGAGGTGGGACTCCTCCTCCTCCGTGGCTGCAGGCTGGGACCCTGCCAGAGGGCACCAGACACAGAGTGAGCCAGGGACAGGGTGAGCCAGGATCACTCTGGTTTTGGCAGTGTCCCACAGAGTCCTCTGTGGGGCATTTTGCAAGGTTGCAACCCCATGAACAATGCAAGGGGTGGGCAAGGGGCACCAAGCATTAAAGCTACAGGGTGTGTGTGTCAGGTCAGTGTCCTCACTGCTGCATGATCAGTATTGGGGGTCCTTGAATCCCCTGGGGTGGCCCGACTTGTCTCAATGGCAGAAGTCTCTGCCTGGGCTGTTGTGCAGCTCATGGGATCCCCCCACAGTGAGGCAAGACACCAGAAACAGTAAGTGGAGCATGGAAACACATCAAACACATTCAGCCTGCAAGGGAGAGTGGAGGGAAAATGAGGCCAAAAGAAACTGCATTGGGGCACAGCTAACAGCCTGGTTATGGCATTGTCTGGGCAGACCTAGCAGAAGTCTCTGCCTGGGCTGTTGTGCAGCTCATGGGATCCCCCCACAGTGAGGCAAGACACCAGAAACAGTAAGTGGAGCATGGAAACACATCAAACACATTCAGCCTGCAAGGGAGAGTGGAGGGAAAATGAGGCCAAAAGAAACTGCATTGGGGCACAGCTAACAGCCTGGTTATGGCATTGTCTGGGCAGACCTAAAATCTTTCCAACTTTGCATTCTTCTTTTCTGTGTGTTTTGTGCTGTGACTGACCTGACTGTTCCAGCCCTCCTCCTCTGCAGGAAGTCCCACCTTAGTCTTGTCTTGGAATGAATCCTTCTCCCTCATCACTGTCTGCTAAACCCTCATAAGACTACTGATGAAACCAGGCTGGCTTGTCTCCAAGTAATTGTTCTCCAGCTGCAGGATCAGGCATTTCCCAGAATTTTTTATCCTGTAGTAAGAGAACAGACTTGGGATCATTCCTTAAATCTTCTTCCAGCATCTGAGACCTTCTTACTCTCTGAACTCCTCAATCACCTTTTTTCCCACTTCCTTAACATTTCTCAACTCATCTATAGCTTGGGGGAGACCTGGAGGATCTAATGGGCTGCCTATAGTTCATGCTGGGTTGTGTGGAGGATGCCCAGGGCATGGCACATGCACTGAGCAGCAAACAGGACTCAGCAAGGAAGCTATGAAGCTCCTGCAGCCCCTTGGATGGTGGAAACTGGGCAAGGAAGGAGTTTTGGGGCAGTGTCACTTATCATTTGGATCAGGTACTGGAGTAGCATGAAGTCAGATGTTTTGCTTTACTGCAGGCCCAGCAGTTGTGTAAGATGCTGCCAAGTCCTGGTGTCTACTACTTCCCATGGGAGATCAACAGCTCAGTCCCAGAGGGGGAGGTGCTGAGGACGTTTGGCAGGTGAGAAGGGTACCCCACTCCCTTTGTTTGTAATCATATCTCTGCACTGCTGAGCTTCCCAAATCGATCATTCCCAGGTTAAGCTGCTACGACCTGGCCCGATCCGAAGCCGTTCTCACCGCTCAGCACAGCTCAGCTCAGTACCAGGTCTGTGTTGATACCAGGTTTGTGGAGCCATTCCAAGCCCAGCTGGGATCTTTGTACATGGTCCTGGGAGAGGCTGAACACAGGGAAGGTAAATGCTCCAGGAACTGGTTTCCTTTTCTCCTCTTCATCAGCTCCTTTGGGGCTCCCTAGGTCACTGAGGGTAGAGTAGGCCAAGGCAGCTCATCTTGTGATGAGCTCACAAGCATGTAAGTAGAAGTAGCCTGTCTGCCCCATTGACCATGAGAAGAGCCACGCTTATCTTGGTGAAAATCTGGTGCTCTGGCACAGATTTTGTTAGAAACAAGAAGCACCACAGCAGCATCGCTGAGCTTGTGAAACCTGTGCTAAAGCCTTCTGGCATCACTGCCAACCACCACACTGTCTTCTTGCTCCAAACGTGGCTGATTGCAGCAATACCTCATTGCAAGCTGGCTGGGTTGGTCTTTGCCATCCTTGAAAGGCTCTAATTATATCCCTGCCCTCAGACAAGTGAGGAATGCAGGCAGGGTCTCTCAAGCAGGGCACTCCTTTGTCCCTTCCTGGGGTGCCCTGTGTGCCAGCTGCTCAGTGCTTCCCATGGGATGGGGAAGCAAATCCAAGTGTTGTCTTGGCCACACCTGATAAGAAGCATTCACACTTGTGCCATTGAAATCCTCAGTGGAATGTGGAAAGCCACCACTGCACATGGCAGCTGGTGAGTGACCTGCTAAGCCACTGCTGCAAAATTCCTTTGGACAGACATTGTTTTGCTCATCACAGCTTAGAGTTGGCCCCATTTTGCAGGGGTGGAAGGGGAGCAGGCTGAAATGGTGGCTGTGTCACCAAGGCTGTGTCACCAAGGGTTGGCCCCTTCTGTGCAGCTCCACGTTACCATCTGAATGCCACCAATGAACTGTTGGTTATGATCAGCTTTGAGCTTCTTCTAAGTCTAACTTTGTTCTGTCCTCTTGTCTGCACAGGGGCATTTAGAAATGAGCTTAGATCTGTCCCTGCTGCTTTTTAGACAGGGAAAACCAAAGTTGATCCAGCCACAGAGTAGGCAGATGCTGCGTGGCAGGCACTGGTACCATTCCCCAGTGCAAGGAGAGTGCTGGGTCAGTCATCAGCATTTTGTAGCCATCAGGGCAGAGGGAAAGCACATCACTGAATTAAGCTGCTCCTGGGCCTGCTGCTCACATTGGTCACAGCACATGGCCAGTCTGATCTCCTGGAAGTTCTCAGGCTATGGTTACTTGGCCAGCCAGAACCGTATGCTGCCTGAGGGAATCTCTCTGTCTCCAATCTGCTCTGTTTTTCTTTCTACAGAAACTTCCTGTCCTGTGGTAAAGGCAAGAATATTGACCTGCGTGGAAGGGATGAATGTGCCCTTGCTGGAACAAGCCATACAGGAGCAGAGGAAATACTTCAAGGAGAGGCAGGAGCAGATGGGAAAGAGCTCATCCTGACAGCAGCTCTGAGAGCAGCCATAAGCACTTGGACCTTGCACTGCCGTTTGCAACAAATATATTAAAAGTAAATTAGGAGGTGAATTTGCCATGTCAAACAACAAAATCAAGTCACTGAGCAGGGAAGCACTTGAGGACTGTGAGTCAGTATGTGACTGTGGGTTGCCCATTCCTGTCAGGTGTCATCACTGAAAATAGCCCTGGGTTGGTTTGAAGGGGTGATTAAGGGAAGGGAACACTTGCATTACACTGGTCCTTTTGTAACGCAGGGTCTGAGAAGTCAGAAAAAGGAGTCTCTGAACATGGACTTAAGCAGCTCACACCCCCACAGCACAGCAGGTTACTGGGCCATTGGCAGATCAAGGCAAAGGGCATCAGCACAAAGTTCTCCAGCTCAGCATGACTGCAGGTCCATGAGTGCATGTGTTTAGGTACTGTGACTCAGCTGCCACACCGGAACATTCCTGGCAAAACACTCATCTACCTGGACCGATCAACAAAGAAACAAGAACAAAGAAACAAGAAGAACAGAGTCCTTATTTTCAGTAGCACCTGCATCTTCAGGCTTCCAAGAGCTGGTGTCCAAGGGAGGATTGACTTTAGCTCTAAAGTACTTGTATTGCCTTAAGAACCACCACTTGACTTTCTTCCTTGACACAACTAAGTTTAAGAGGTCTTAAATCACTATTTTTTGAAGCATCTAAAGATTTTGATTGATATTATCCTAAATAAAGATGAAAAGAGAAGGCAGCCTGTCTTTTATTCATTAAAACCTTCTTTCTTGTCAAGTCAGATGCATTAGGCCCTGCAGGAATTCTATGGATGATGTAAGAAAATACACTGACAGTTTTCCTCCTTCTCCTAAGTACAGGGTGTGTAAGGAAGTAGTTGGCTTTGAAAAAGTTGCAAGAAAAGGAGATGATGTTACATCAGAGCCACTCTAGTTTCAGAACAGGGTGCCAGGCGCAACTATCAGGATTAAACCATCGACAAAAAGACAGAAAATCACTAATATCAGATGAGAATGCTCAGAAAATAAGGAAGGCCTTTGAATGCACCACAGCAGATAAACTGCAACAGGTCCCCTGGTATCAGCAGGCTTGATTTGAGGGCCTGGGATGGCTCAGTAATCACAGTGCTTGCATTAATCTTTAATCAGAGTTTAGCCTTATGTTTTTCTTCACACAGTGCAGAGATCCAAAAGCTCTGTCTGAGCATACTCTGTTCAGTCCAAAGCCAAAACCATGATTTCCAGAGGCAAAGATTTTAACCTGGTTCTGTAAGAGGCAGCGATGAGTCTGTCATGATGCATTTATGTTTACCCCTCATGTCCTGGCTGTTCTCCTATTTCCCTCCCTGTGCTTAAATTTTATCCCATAGCCAGGTTTGCCAGAGAGTTGGGAATAGCTATGATGCCAGGACTGAGAATATCCAAAATAACAAGTTTCTACAAGCGTTACCAAAAAAAAAACCCAAACCAGAAACCTAACCAGCTAGGGAGAGCAGAGCTTATTTGGCAATGTCTCTGGATAGAGATGTGAGAGCAAACTCAACCTTCACAAGTCACTGGAGGACCCACACAGGAGTTTGCTGTGGCTGTATGGATCCTACTTCAGCCACAGAGCAACCACACTTTGTTTTTTTTTCAAATTAGCAAAATCAGGATCCATTTAAAATAGATTTTGAGCTACTCTCTCAGCAATGGGCTAAATCAGCCCTTTTTTAGGTCATCTAAGAGTTGGGGTCTCCTGTGAACACACACAGCTGCTGTGTCCATGCCCACACAGAGACATGGAGCCCCTAAGCCCTCCAAACAATATTCCCTTTGGCTCTGCCTTTCCTGCTACTGTAATATGTAAGATCTTTTAAAATATTTTCTGCTGTCAGCTGTCAAGTCAATGATTAATCCCCATTCAAGGACATATTCCGTAAGGCTGATCAAGCGGCACAGCCCACGGTGGGGAGGGTGAAAGGACAATTGTGCAAGAGAATAAAAAAAATAATAAAAAGACATTTCTGGTGGTGTTTGACCTCAATATGTCCCAGGGAACCCTAATTAGGTAGTAGGAAGAAATGTTTCCCTGTGAGGGTGATGAGACACTGGCACAGGTTGCCCAGGGGAGTAGCTGATGCCTCAACCCTGGCAGTGTTCAAAGCCAGGCTGGATAAAGCCTTAAGCAACCTGCTCTGGTGGGAGGTGTCCCTGCCCAGGGCAGGAGGCTGGCACTGGATGATCTCTCAGGTGCATTCCAATCCCTGAAATTCTAAGATTCTACGAATTATGACCCTAATTATCCCCCTGATGCCCAGCACTGCACAAAGGCAGTGGCAGAGCTTCCTCTGGCCCTGCATGGCTCCTGCTGCCCCTCCCTCCATCCCCAAAGCATCTCTTCACATCTATTTCCCTCAAGTTTTGGCTTTAGCCAGCACCTAGCACAGCCTGGGCCACAGAACAACCAGCCCTGGGCTGCAGGTGCATGGTGTGTGGCTCTTCGGGTCTGCAGCCCCCAGCGTGCCCAGGCTGTCCCTCCAGAGCCACCACAGTGCCATGTCCCTGTGCTGAGGGGGCAGGACAGGGCACCCAGACCCTGACAGCACCTCAGGGAACACTGGTGGAAAGAACCACCTTCCCCACAGTCAGCCTTTTTTTGTCTCCTGCTTTGTTTTTCTCCTCAGAGCACAGCACCAGCCATCACCAGGCAGAGTTCATCTCCCCATGGAGGCCATGCAGGAATCATTCCAGAAAGTGGAGAAGATTGGGGAAGGCACCTATGGAGTGGTGTACAGGGCTCGCAACAAGCGCACGGGGCAGCTGGTGGCCCTCAAGAAGATCCGCTTGGATGCGTGAGTGTGGCAAAGCTGTGGGGCTGCTGCCACGGGGCAGCCCTGGGCTGGTGTCCCACACGGCGCATGAGGCGTAAAAGAGCCTGATGTGAGGGGGAAAAGTGTCTCTGTCGGCTCATACGAGTGCTCAGGGCCTGAGCTGGCACTGCCTGGCCCTGGCGCAGGGCAGGGGAAGCTGCTGCCCAAAAGGGAGGTGACATCTCCCTCAGGGCTGCGGTGTGGGGTCTGGCGAGGCTCAGCCTCAGCCACGCCAGGGCGGGACTGAGCAGGGAAAGGCTTGTTGCTGTTTGTTTCCCTGGGTTGGCCCTGGCTGTCTGCACTTGAGGGGTGTCAGTGTGGACTGGGGGCTGTCGTGGTGGGATTGCACCCCAGGTGGCCCCTCAGGATGGGGACGTGGC